CTTAATTACCTTTCCTTTTACACTTCCCCCACCTTCATTTCCCCTTCCCCTTTTTTTCCCCCTTTCTCTTTTTTCCTTTACCCATCCTTCTTCCTTACCCACCTTACCCATCCTTCTCCTTACCCACCTTAAATCCTTCTTCTTACCTCTTACCCATCCTTCTTCTTACCCACCTTACCCATCCTTCTTCCTTACCCACCTTACCCATCCTTCTTTCCAATCCTTCTTCTTACCCACCTTACCCATCCTTTCTTCCTTACCCACTTACCCATCCTTCTTTCCTTACCCACCTTACCCATCCTTCTTCCTTACCCACTTACCCATCCTTCTTCCTTACCCACCTTCTACCCATCCTTCATCCTTACTCCCTTACCCATCCTTCTTCCTTACCCACCTTACCCATCCTTCTTCCTTACCCACCTTACCCATCCTTCTTCCTTACCCACCTTACCCATCCTTCTTCCTACCCACCTTACCCATCCTTCTTCCTACCCACCTACCATCCTTCTTCCTTACCCACCTCCCATTCTTCCTTACCCACCTTACCCATCCTTCTTCCTTACCCACCTTACCCATCCTTCTTCCTTACCCACCTTACCCATCCTTCTTCCTTACCCACCTTACCCATCCTTCTTCCTTACCCACCTTACCCATCCTTCTTCCTTACCCATCCTTCTTCTTTACCCACCTTACCCATCCTTCTTCCTTAACTACCACTTACCCATCCTTCTTCTTACCCACCTTACCCATCCTTCCTTACCCACCTTACCCATCCTTCTTCCTTACCCACTTACCCATCCTTCTTCCTTACCCATCCTTCTTCCTTACCCACTTACCCATCCTTCTTCCTTACCCACCTACCTTACCCATCCTTCTTCCTTACCCACCTTACCATCTTCTTACCCCCTACCCATCCTTCTTCCTTACCCACTTACACCATCCTCTCCTACCATCCTTCTTCCTTACCCCACTTACCCATCCTTCTTCCTTACCCATCCTTCTTCTTTACCCACCTTACCCATCCTTCTTCCTTACCCACTTACCCATCCTTCTTCCTTACCCACCTTACCCATCCTTCTTACCCACCTTACCCATCCTTCTTCCTTACCCACTTACCCATCCTTCTTCCTTACCCATCCTTCTTCCTTACCCACTTACCCATCCTTCTTCCTTACCCATCCTTCTTCCTTACCCACCTTACCCATCCTTCTTCCTTACCCACCTTACCCATCCTTCTTCCTTACCCACCTTACCCATCCTTCTTCCTTACCCACCTTACCCATCCTTCCTTCCCCTTACCCATCCTTCTTCCTTACCCACCTTACCCATCCTTCTTCCCCCTTACCCATCCTTTTTCCCTTTTACCCATCCTTTACCCATCCTTCTTCCTTACCCACTTACCCATCCTTCTTCCTTACCCACCTTACCCATCCTTCTTACCCACCTTACCCATCCTTCTTACCCACCTTACCCATCCTTCTTCCTTACCCACTTACCCATCCTTCTTCCTTACCCATCCTTCTTCCTTGCCCACTTACCCATCCTTCTTCCTTACCCATCCTTCTTCTTTACCCACCTTACCCATCCTTCTTCCTTGGTAATAAATGGTATAAAATACCGACACACTGCCGAGAAGAGATACATAGTCCTCCCCAACAACTCCATTGCCAAACATGTTTCCAACATCTTTGCCAAAACATCATTCCAAGTATCTACCTCCACAACCACGACCATCAGTAGTAGACAGGACAAGCCTCCATCCTCTGCAGGGGTATACATAATCCCTTGTAATGACTGCAACAAATTATATGTGGGCGAAACATCAAGAGACCTCCAAACACGCATTTCAGAACACCAATATGCAAGCAGGACTGACGATACAAGGAATGCCTGTGTACAACATCGCAATTCACACAACCATTTAATTAACTACAGAAACTCAAGACTTATCGCCACAGAAGACAACACTCAATACAGAAGAATCCTGGAATCATCGCTTATCTCTATAACCAACAATTTCAACCAGAACAATGGCTTCTATAACATAGCTGAACCACTCGCCAAGAAACTTCTTCATCGCTATCCCACATAAGAACATAGAACACTGCAGAAGGTCTACAACTTGTCCAATACCCCTGCCAAGCTACCCAAGACTCTATAACTCCACCCGGTAGATCAGATGCAGCATTCTCCACCTGACCTCAACATTCTGAACATGACTATAAATACTCTCGTACCTTCCAACCCCAGGTAGATCCGTGTGTGACTTGAAAAAGCCCACTGTGTGGATGAAACGTTGTCAATAATGGATCACATTATACTGCATTTGTGTTTATATTTCCTTCTTCCTTACCCACTTACCCATCCTTCTTACCCACCTTGCCCATCCTTCTTCCTTACCCACTTACCCATCCTTCTTCCTTACCCATCCTTCTTCCTTACCCACCTTACCCATCCTTCTTACCCACCTTACCCATCCTTCTTCCTTACCCACTTACCCATCCTTCTTCCTTACCCATCCTTCTTCCTTACCCACTTACCCATCCTTCTTCCTTACCCATCCTTCTTCTTTACCCACCTTACCCATCCTTGAAGATTGAGACACTTATGCAGCATATGGGAATCTTTATTCAGGAAACGTTTCGCCACACAGTGGCTTCATCAGTCCAATACAAAGAGGAAGGCGTAAGGAGAGGAGGAGTATGAGGTAATCAGTCCCTCAGCCAGGGACTGATTACCTCATACTCCTCTTCTCCTTACGCCTTCCTCTTTGTATTGGACTGATGAAGCCACTGTGTGGCAAAACGTTTCCTGAATAATATTCTCATATGCTGCATAAGTGTCTCAATCTTCAACTTGTCGGTTTTTCAAACCATTCATCACAACTGTCAGACACTGCAGCATCATGGGATCTTCTTACAAAGAATTCTTCAACGCTTGTTCAACCTTTGGACAAAGACCTACTTCGACTAGTGGATGGTACCACTATGATCCCGCCTCCGTCTGCTTCAAGTCACCTCACTACAGTATATAAGCCACGTCTACGGCCCTATGCTGTACATTCTACAAGATTGATGGACTGAACACATCGACTCCTGGCTGAGGGACTGATTACCTCATACTCCTCCTCTCCTTACGCCTTCCTCTTTGTATTGGACTGATGAAGCCCCTGTGTGGCGAAAACGTTTCCTGAATAAAGATTCCCATATGCTGCATAAGTGTCTCAATCTTCAACTTGTCGGTTTTTCAAACCATTCATCTTACCCATCCTTCTTCCTTACCCACTTACCCATCCTTCTTCCTTACCCACCTTACCCATCCTTCTTACCCACCTTACCCATCCTTCTTCCTTACCCACTTACCCATCCTTCTTCCTTACCCATCCTTTTTCCTTACCCACCTTACCCATCCTTCTTACCCCCCTTACCCATCCTTCTTCCTTACCCACTTACCCATCCTTCTTCCTTACCCATCCTTCTTCCTTACCCCACCTTACCCATCTTACCAAAGCTCTGGTCATAAGAAGAAGAAGACAGTGTCTCGTGAGATTCATGTGGGATTAAAAACAGTGATGCTGCTCTAGAGAGCGAGATAGTAGGATCACCGGATCACTTGTTAGATGAAAGTGAGGACATCACCTCCGATACTATAAATGTCTTGATAAGATAAGATTTCGTTCGGATTTTTAACCCGGGGGGTTAGCCACCCAGGATAACCCAAGAAAGTCAGTGCGTCATCGAGGACTGTCTAACTTATTTCCATTGGGGTCCTTAATCTTGTCCCCCAGGATGCCACCCACACCAGTCGACTAACACCCAGGTACCTATTTGCTGCTAGGTGAACAGGACAACAGGTGTAAGGAAACGTGTCGGAATTTCCACCCGCCGGAATCGAACTCGGGCCCTCCGTGGTGTGAATCTGGAGTTTTAGCCACCATCCTTTGATTTTCCTGGACTATAAGTCTTTAGGGGTAAATAGCACATGGCGGCTCAAGTATACCAAAAAATCGAAAAAAAAAAATTGAGCTAATCTTACAGAAAATAGTTCAAAAATCTGGCAACACATTGGTGTATGTCTCGTGTCTGTACGAGAATTCTACGAGTAATTATCGTAATTATAATAAATGAGGTAATTGCGTCATTAGTTTGACACCTGACGCCCACCATAACAATAGTATACTGGATTTCATTATTAGTATTTTTTTCGTAATTTTTTTCTTACGATTTTGTGCTAGAATCTTTGAAATACTAATTGGTAACTGTGAGGGAGGCTGTAGGAAGAGATATTCTCTTGCCCAGTAAGTCAGTGCCGACCATAAGTCTGAAGGAAGAGGGAGTGTGCTGCTCTGATTGACCGACTGACCCTTGGGACCCGTAATCTGACCCTCCATTCTTTGTATTTTTACTCACAATGGTCTACAAGAAAAAATCATTCTCTCGCAAGTTAACCAAGAAGAGAAGAAAGGTGTTAGAAAAGATTCGTAGAACTATAAAAGCGAAGAAGGAAGCAGCGAGAGCGGCGGCGGCTGGAGCAAGTGACGCCATGCCACCACGAGAGGCGGCGGCTGGAGCAAGTGACGCCATGCCACCACGAGAGGCGGCGGCTGGAGCAAGTGACGCCATGCCACCACGAGAGGCGGCGGCTGGAGCAAGTGACGCCATGCCACCACGAGAGGCGGCGGCTGGAGCAAGTGACGCCATGCCACCACGAGAGGCGGCGGGTGGAGCACGTGACGCCATGCCACCAGGAGAGGCGGCGGCTGGAGCACGTGACGCCATGCCACCACGAGAGGCGGCGGCTGGAGCAAGTGACGCCATGCCACCACGAGAGGCGGCGGGTGGAGCAAGTGACGCCATGCCACCACGAGAGGCGGCGGCTGGAGCACGTGACGCCATGCCACCACGAGAGGCGGCGGCTGGAGCACGTGAACTAATGGATATTTCAGGCATAGAATCGTCTGGTGAAGAAAGAAAGAAAAAACGTAAGAGAACCAGCGTGGACAGCCCCTCCTTGGCCATAACAGATGTTGCTGGCCCATCCTTGGCCACCCCAGATGTGGCCAGTCCTTCCTTGGCCACCCCAGATGTGGTCACCCGATATTGCCGAGCTAGAGGATCGAAAAAGCTTAAAGTAGATAACTCATCTGTGACCATCCCCTCCTTGGCCACCCCAGATGTGGCCAGCGATTCCTTGGCCACATCACGTGTGGCCAGACGTGGTGTGGCCACACCACGAGTGGCCACCCCAGATGTTGACATGTCAGCTGTCACCATCTCAGCTGACGCCAGCTCAGCTGTCCCTGGCACATCTACAAGTGATAATGCGACTGACATTAATATATCTGGTGTCGACAGTGTTAGTGATCGGAATATTTCCAGTGCCATAAAGCGAGTGTCGCTCTTAAAGAAAGTAACTCATAAAGTTTCTGAAAACTTTATGGTGTTTATGGAAAATACTAATTTTGATTTGATTCTGTCAAGTGTGTGCTGTCTGAAATGTTTTAGTAATAATATTGTTTTTACATTCGATCATCACCACCTAGAGACAACTGTTAGTGCATACTGTCCAGAGTGTAAGAATAACGTGTTTGTAATGAAACCAAGAGTCCACAAGGATATGAATGTTGCAACCGGAAGGATGGTATATGCAGAAATGTGTACAGGTGGTGGATATGCATCCTTTAGCCGTAGAACTGCAATGTGTAATTTGCCTTCATTGAGTTTCAAAACATTTAGTAAATATACGGCTCTCATTACAGATGCATCCGTTCAATCGTGCAAGCAGATCATGGCAGAATCAAGAGAGGTGATTGTTAGGGAATATGGTAAACTAGACATTGTGCCAGACCCAAGTGGAATACTTGATATTGATGTCACATATGATGGAACATGGCACAAAAGGGGCCATCATTCGAATCTTGGCATTGGTGTTACAATTGATGCTGTTACAAAACTTGTAATTGATTATCAAATAATGTGTAAGTTCTGTTTCTTGTGTACGTTCTTCGAGTGTCGTTTGAAAAGCAAGAAAATTTCTGAAGAACAGTATGAACAATGGACTGAAAACCATAAAAGTGTATGCTGCAAGAACTTCACAGGTTCTTCTGGAAGTATGGAAGCGGAAGCAGCAATACTCATATGGCAGAGATCACTAGAAAGTAACTTAAGGTACAAAACTGTTGTGTGTGATGGTGACAGCAGTACCTACAAAGGACTTGTTGAACTCAATAATGGTGCAGGTCCCTATCGAGGTGTACAGGTTGTAAAAGAGGAATGTATAAATCATTACTCTAAACGACTAAAGAACAGATTAACCAATTTAGTGAAGTCCCACTACAATGAAAAAGAATTGAAAACAGGAAAGAAAAGAAAGCAGTTTGATTTGAAGAAGGGTATGCTAACAGATTTTATCATCGACAAACTGGCAGGTTATTTTCAGAAGAACCTGAGAAACCATGTCGACACTGATGTTGTAAGGATGAGGAATGGCATCCTTGCAAGCTTTTTCCATTGCTCATCCAGTGATACAAATCCACAACATCATCTTTGCCCAACTGGTCCTAATTCATGGTGCTTTTACCAAAAGGCAGTAGCAGCTAACATAACACCACCATCGCACAACACCATGAAAGTGCACTTCCAGTTAGATCCTGCATACTTCAAGGAGGTTCATGATATTTACAAAGAACTAACTACAGATGATATGATGACACGTTGTCTGAAAGGCAGGACACAGAATCCTAACGAAAGTCTCCATCAACGAATTTGGTCCTACTGCAACAAGGCACTGAATCGAAACAAGTGGCAGGCTGATTTCTCAGCCAGCCAAGCCATAGCTGAGTATAATGCTGGATACGAGAGAAGTTGTCTCGATATACCACTTGGCTTTGGGCGTTCACTGGTTACCCAAAGGAAGCTTCAAGCTATGGACAAGAGGATGCAGAGAAAAAAGCCCCCGAAATCCAAGAAGAGGAGACTGGCGATGGATACTTCCTATGAACCTGGAGGACATTAGATGATCATTGATGTCCTTACCAACACCTACTCAAAGGTATGTAATTCATGTTATTTTCTTGTATATTTGTATGTGTATAAATATGACATACTTGTAATTACATGTATCTGTGTATATAATCACTGGCAATACGATTTTGAGAATGTATTTCCTTCTTTTCAGGTTGGCATGCATGGAGCATTGTGATTGGCCGATCTCCAGGGAACTTCAGGATGCAAGGATCTGCATGGAACTTCAGGGATATACTCTATTCACTTGTTTCTACTATCAATAAACATAAGAAGACACTATGAGTATTTTTACCCACCATATAGTAAGACCCAATATATTTCTTCATTTATCTCAGAAGTGCATTATTTTCATATATCTTAGTGTCTCAGTTATTTATGAACCGATCTTCATTATTTTCACACTGCTTATTCAGGGGACATTGTTCTAAAAAAGAACGATTCCCTTTGGGTAATCATCCCTTCCATTTTGGCATTCCATGGGTACAGAATGCAAGAATGGTGTAAAACATGTCAAGACAGACCCCTGGCAGTCTTCAAGCTGGCACTGGACAAGCACCTAAAGTCGGTTCCTGATCAGCCGGGCTGTGGCTTGTACATTGGTTTGTGTGCAGCCAGCAGCAACAGCCTGGTTGATCAGGCTCTGATCCACCAGGAGGCCTGGTCACAGACCGGGCCGCGGGGGCATTGACCCTCGGAACTCTCTCCAGGTAAACAATTATTATTTTTTTTGGTTACTAATAAGTGTAATAATACATAAAGGAAACTGTTAGAAAATCAATATGGCATTGCTTTATCATTGTAGGGTATCAAAAACAACTTCGACATTGCCACTACTACATAATGGTGCCATAAATGTTGCCATGTCCAAATGCTAATATTTATTTTTTTACCATTATTTATTGGACGATCTTGATGCAACTTATACTGCATAAACTATGGCATGCCTAGAGACTATGGTAAAAATTTCAGTTAAATCGCATGAAGGGAACAAAAGTCGTATAGTGAAGGTCATTTTACCCCTAAAAAAAAATTTACATGTATCGAAGGAATCCTTTATCAATTAACAATGTAATTGCCCTTCTCTTCAGAATTGCCATAATGCAGCTAGACAAAACAAAATTAGCCAAAGGAAAAACTTTTCATATAAATTTGAAAATATAAAAGGCATCTTGTACAAATCAGTATTCAAATTAAATTCAGATGAGATAGACTATTCCATCTTAGTTGTTCCAAGTCAATGCAGAGAGACTGTTCTTAAAATGGCTCATGACTTACCAGTGGCTGGACATTTCTCGCATCGTAAAACCTTAAATAAAATTAGGGAAACCTATTTTTGGCCCAAAATGTCCTCAGATATCACTATCTATTGTAGATCGTGTAAAGAGTTTGCCAACTGTCATCCTCCCGAGGTACCAGGCGAGTACCTATGGTCAAAATGCCAGTCTTTACGGTACCGTTTGAAAGAGTAGCTATTGACATCGTTGGTCCTTTATCTCCACTTTCATCTGGGGGACATAGATATATATTAACATTAGTTGATTATGCTTCGAGTTTCCCTGAAGCCGTACCCTTAAAGACCATAACTACTACAGAGATGGTTGAAGCCCTTTTGTCCATCTTCTCCAGAGTTGGCATTCCTAGAGAAATTTTGTCTGACCATGGGACACAATTTACATCTGACTTAATGCAACATCTCTACCAACTTCTGGGAGTGAAGCCTCTCTTCACCACACCATATCATCCCAGCTGTAATGGGAGGATTGAGCACCAGCATTCGGTTCTCAAGTCCATTTTAAGGAAACTTTGCTCCCTTAAACCTAAGGAGTGGCATCGTTACCTACCCTGTGCTTTGTTTGCCATGAGGGAAGTTCCCAGTGACTCTTTGGGGTTTTCACCTTTTGAACTTCTCTATGTTAGACAGAGGTCCACTGTCCATCCTTCATGACTTATGGACTAATAAGGATGTAAAGGCTGAGGTTCAGTCTTCTTATCAGTTTCTCCTTGACCTTAGATCCAAATTTGAGGAGACCTCTGACATAGTTTCAAAAAACTTAAGCTTGTCAATGGACCAGTACAAAACCTATTTTGATTCCAAAAGTCAGAGGAGAAATTTTAAAGTAGGGGATGAAGTTCTGGTACTTTTGCCTATCAAGTCAAATAAATTACTATTAGCATGGAAAGGTCCATATAAGGTGTTAAGAATTTGTGGGAAGGTTGATTACCTCATAGAAGTCAAGGGGAAACCTAAGCTTTATCATATCAACATCCTTAAGAAATATTACCGAAGAAATTCGGTTAACTGTTTGAATAACTTTGACTTAGTTTTTCCACATGAACTTAATAAGACAACTGAAGAATGCAAGGTGTGTGTAATTGGCACCTCTAACATAGACTAGGACAGAGAACTACATGACTTGGTGACTCTTGACCACTTGGGTGCAACAAACATTAATATCAATGAGTCTTTGGATGACCATAAGAAACATGAACTACTTCAATGTGTGAGTAACTTCTCAGACATTTTTACTTATATTCCAAGTGTCACCTCCACGGTAGTCCATAAGATTGACTTAGTCACGGACAATCCTATCAAATGGAAATTATACCCAATTCCAGTTCACCTTAGGGATGCATTTGACCGAGAGGTAGACAAATTATTAAAACTAAAGATCATTGAACCTTCAGTATCTGCATATTGCTCACCAGTAGTCATGGTTAAGAAGGAGGATAATTCATTTAGACTTGCGATTGACTTCAGAGGCCTTAATGCTATAAATCGGTGAGATGCTGAGCCTATGCCCTTAATAGATAGCCATCTACACAAGTTTTATAACGCTTCCTTCTTTTCAGAGATTGATATTGCGCAGGCATATCATCAAGTAATGTTAGATCCTTCTTCTAAGCAGTACACCGCTTTTCCTACCCACCAAGGACTTATGCAGTATAGAACCATGCCCTTCGGTTTGGTAACTGCCTGTGCTACCTACATGAGACTGATGAGAAAGGTCTTGGGTAATATGCCAAATGTTTCAGTTTATTTTGATAACATTTACGTAATGAGATCCACATGGGGCAAGCATATCCAAACATTAACATCAGCTTTACGTAGGTTACGCTCGCATGGCCTCACTGCCAAGCCGAAGAAATGCTTCCTTGGGTATAACAAGATTAGATATCTCGGACTGATCCTTTCTAATAACTCTTTGCAGCCTCTCCCCAGTAAGATCAAAGCTTTGTTAGAATTTAAATTCCCCTAAACCAAGAAGCTCATGCGTAGCTTCCTTGGTTCTGTAAATTTTTATGCACGGTTTATCATGAACCTTACTGATCTTTCAGGCATCTTATCCAACTTCCTTGAAAAGTCTGTGAAGGAACCTCTTGAACTTTCCGACGTAGCTCGGGAAAAGTTTAATGAGATTAAAAATATCTTCTCGAAAGACCCTATACTTAAGATTCCAGATATTAATAAAGCATTTTGTTTAAGAACTGATACCTCCATTACTGGCTTAGGTGCGGTGTTACTACAATACCATGATGGTACTCCCTTCCCTGTATGCTTCCAAAGCCAGAAACTCCTTCCTGCAGAAACGAGATACTCAACCATAGAAAAGTTTATTCTCTATAAGGATTACAATGCTGAGTTTACAGAAATTTGGTTATTGTTTGGTTTACATGTAGTAAAATTGTGGTTACAGAGTGTACCACTAGAACGGAATGTTTGGCCCTTGGATGGGGTATCTCCAAGCTTAAATTTTATTTACTGGGAAAAAAATTCATTTTAGAGATGCATCACAAACATTTGATATTCCTAGAAACTTTTAAGGGAACAAATAGTTGCCTCTTGAGGTGGACATTGGCTCTCCAAGCTTTTAAGTTCCATATTGTGTATATCAATGGTTCATCCAATTATTTCTCTGACTGGTTAAGTCATGACAGTCAGTAGAAGATTTGTTGCCTTACGCGACTTCCACATTTTAGAACTTTTTCCTTGCCTATTCTTCTTATTCTCCTTGACTATAAGTCTTGGTATGGGGAAGTGTGAGGGAAAAGTTCAACAGATAGGAGTAGTGAGAAAGGCATATGGTAACGATAGTTTGATTGCCGGCTGCTTGTTAAGGTAGGGTAAGTCTAGCTCCCACTATCCCCCCTTCCCCCCCCAAAGGTGACGTGTGGGGCTCCGACCAATCGGTAATCGCTTGACTCACAGCTCCCAGCAAAACTGTAAGTACAAGCCTGCTCCTATTCTAGTGGACTTATTGGTTGAAAGCTTCACTTTTGACCAATAATTAACTTAGTCCTTTCAGCCTTGATCTCTGTTAGATATTTTAATAATCACTATGTCTTTTAGGTATTGTACTTATCATGGAGAGTGATTTCTTAAACAGTGGGTAACCTGTCTCTCTTTCCAGCTTGGAATGACAGATTGGGTCACCTGCCAACCAACGAGAAGTATTGAAGGAGACGGGCTGAAACAGCCCAAGAGACGTCACTCTACCTACCTGTTTATATGTAAGTCACCGCAGGACATAACCCCTCATCTTTGCAGTGGTAAAGAACCTGCATTCCTGTCATCTGGACTGACTATTCAAAGCTATAGACTCTGTGAAGAACTGGCCATTGGGTTGTCACCAACACCTGTGACCCCCCTTCACACATCAGTAATGGCTGCGCTTTCTACAAGTCAGTGTCAACATCAACCAGACACCCCAGATTACTTGTATATATTAACGTTGAATTCTAATGTCATTTTTTCATTTCATTTTTCTTTCAAATAGGACACACCTTCATGTTTCACTGTTTTATATTTGCATTAATTAATAATAAAGTGCTTATCTTTGTGAATTATTTTTTCTTTTTCTATTGATTAATTTTCCTGAGGAGGAGCCAGCCTTGGTAATACTGTCTGAAGTTATTACAGGGCTGAGTAAGCTTTCACACACGGTTTAAGGTAATGACTGCCATCTGCACGTCTGAAAGGTGGTGTGGGTTTATTAATAAAGGAGGCGAGCCCGTTTGTGTTGATACAATGTGAAGCGGGAAGGTGTTGCATGTGGATGGGTTGTGGATGGGGCAGAGGGTAACCTTTGTAAGTGTGTATGCGTCAGCAGAAAATGATGTGAAAGTAAAGCAGGATTTTGTAAGTGATCTAGTTTTCTAGTTACGTGGTTTACCTGCGGTGGCCATTGTTGGTGGAGACTGGAATTGTGGTATTAGCAAGGCTGATGTGGAACCAAAAGGGGCGGGGCATGTGTCGGTAGACTTATGGAATCTTTTGG